ACACAAAACTTTCCAAAATGAGAAAGTGAAACAATTTTTTGGGACGGCCCAAAAAGGAAACCGGGAACAATTTTTTGGGACGAAGGGAGTCATATATGATGATGGATAATTTAATATATATTCATTAAATAAATAAAAATGTATTATCGTTTGTGGTTAGATCATAGTAAATACTCCGTATGCATTTATGGAGTAATAAATTTTGTTTCCTATGAATGATTCACAATATCTATTCCGTAATACTCCGTACTATTTTTCACTTTAACTCATATCAAATTGACGCGCTGCTACCCGGGCATTGCCCTGGGCTTTACACTAGTTCTTGTTTAAAAGTGGCTTTCTATAATAATAAAAAATGGCATCTTTTGTGTTTCCGGATGTTTTTACTTGGATTGTAATTTGTCTTAGACCAGTCAGACCAAACTTGCATAGTTATAAAAATATAAAGAGACCAGATGAGATCAGACTAGACCAGGAAATTACAATCCAAGTAAAATATCCTCAATCACAATTCTTTAATTTTGGTAATTACATACATAATCTTTTATTTATTGCAATTTGATACTCAATGATACTAAATCCATTAGCAGATATTTAGGTATGGGTGTATCAGTCGTTAAAAAATACGGAGTATGTAACGAATCACATAAAACTAAAGTGCGTGTGATTGTTACAAAATAAAATCTGTATTTAAATTCCAAAAGACACTTATGTGTTTTTAATAAATAACTGGAACATTGTTTAAAAAAAAAAAGATAATTAGTATACTACATTGAAAACTATAGGAAAAAAACTATTATTAATAACTACAAAAAAACCTGCACATTTTATTTGATTATCTGGGCACATAAATTTTGGTGTAGTTTGGTACAAATTATTTGGTTGTATAGCCAAATTTAATACAATTCAATTTAAATTAAAAATTATATGGTGGAAGTGACTTTGACTGTTCGCCTTTATTTTTTAAACGGCTTTGTCGTGTGATTGTTTGAAGCAAAAAAAAAAAGTCAAAATTGAAAAAATTGGAGAAAAGGGTTAGACAGGGTCTCGAACTTACAAAAAAATGTCAAATAAGACCTTATATAGGAGGTTCTGTCGGGTTGCCGCCATTTAGGGCGGTTCCCGGTGGAATTTTTTGATAAATTTTTTTGAGCATCTTATTCATTAAGTCTAGTTTACTCATAACAAATTTCAGCTAAAATTTTAATCGGGAAGGCATTCAAATAAATTTTTGAAGATAATTGCGCAGTTAGTTTCAAGAATTTATTTGAATGTCTTCCCGATTGAAGTTTTAGCTGAAATTTGGTATGAGTAAAATAGACTTAATGAATAAGATGCTAAAAAAATTCATCAAAATTCCACCGGGAACCGCCCCAAAAGGCGGCGACCGGACAGACCTCCTATATAAGGCCTTATTTGACATTTTTTTGTAAGATTGAGTCCCTATCCGACCTCTTTCTCTTTTTTTTCATTATTAAATTACTAGGACCGGTCCTGTACCCGTTTCAAACGGTACAGTTTTGGTTCGGGATAAAAATTTATAGAACCATATAAGTACCCGATGTTCGGTTCGGTACCGGTTCGGGTTTTATGCCAACCCCTAGTCTTTGGGAGTGAGTTCTACACTTAGGCTTATGCATTGGTATAAGCCTAGTATGACCTAGGTCCGTAGCACATCATGAGTTATTTATGCATATAATGTCAAGTTAAAATGGACAAAAATTATGATTATACAAAACATGAGTATGGTGGTTGTTCATTATGTTGGTCCAAAAATGGACGCTCTTAGGCTTTTGGGAAAAAACTACGATAGACACTCAAACAGGAATCAAAAAAGTAGTACGCAAATGGAAGTTGCTAAAGAAGTTGATAGACAGAAATCTCATGTCTATTATTTGAATCGGACTTGCTCCAAATGAGCAAATGGAAGTTGCTAAAGAAGTTTCTTTCTCCTTCTCTTTCTCCAAATGAGTAGTGAGTGATACATGTAGTGAATAGCAATGATGAACCAAATCAACTTACATGAATTAAATGTTTAATTTCTACTGAAAATTGAATTTTTATAAATCAGTGGAATTTTTAACTAAGTTTTGTTAGTTAGGATGTTTTCTTTTGGACTATTTTCAGTCCCATACCGAACCGGACCAGACCACACCAGACCAGATCAGACCAAATTAGATTAGTCTTCCGTAGTTATAAAATAAACAAAGACTAGACGTTTACCAGATCAAATCAAATCAAACCAGACCAGCAAATTTCAGTCCAAAAGAAAACACCCATAAAATACTACATTTATCTCATTCAAAAGCTCTTGTCCACTATTCTCCGGTCAACCTTAAGTCTTCTTAATCTATTACTTTAAATATCCAAGTTTTATCTACTGAAAATAAGAATATCAGTGTATTTGATTCGAATATTAATCAAATATATTCGATTAATAATAGTGGTAGTATTAATATCAATATTAATAATAATAGTAATAACACTATAATAACTTTTAAAAGATAGCAATATTCTCAACGTGTAGCCCATATATATATTTTTGCATACAGATTTGAAGCCTATATGTAATAAATCAGAATATAAATACGAATACAAATCAATTTTTTGGTTCAAATGTCTTTCAAATACAAAACAAATAATTATGTATTCGATTTGAAGAATAAAATTAGAGTTGTTTGACTTTGATATATACAGTTGTCAACTTATTTTACACATTATAAGTATAATTTCTGATATGTGTGTGTGTTAGTGTTTATCTCAAAAGGTTTGAAATAGATTTATATTTATTAATCATAAAATTAATTCATTTTAGTATATTGTGCAACATCTAAAATGCATTGATTCATTAAATTTTTATTCTAAGAACACATATTAAGTCATAACATGCATTTACAACATAAACAATACGGAGTATAAGAAAAGTTATTTTAAAGTGACACTTCGTATTTGACTAATATTTAACCTATGCTCAAATCGATTCGATATTCGTATATAATTTGTTAACTATTCGTATTGTTAAACAAATACAAATACAAATCGAAATTAATATTCGTTTCATATTTGAATTCGAATTCGTATTCGAAAAAATTAAACAAATACAAATACAAAATCTCATTATTCGACTCGATTCGGTTCGTATACAACCCTATGTGAGAGCCTTTCTAAGGGACGTAGAAAATAATAATTTTTTTATATATGATACTGGTGTCATATGAAAGATCATAAAAAGTTATGAATTTTGATATATTTTTTGTAAAAATTGGATTACAAATAAAAAAGTTATATCACTTTAAAAATGAGAGATTATTTCTCCTTCTTTTGCTCCAAATCAGCCGTGATGTATAGAGTTATTTATTTGAAATAACCGTGATAATAGGATTTGCATTATCCAATAAAATGTTGACGTATCATTAGTTTTTAACTCAACTTTACTATATAACACTATAGATCGTTACTCTTCCTGGCTGGCTGGCCTGACGCTCAAGCTCCCTCCTGCTGGACTGGATGGCAGTCTCTCGCTGGGCTTGAAGGCAGACGGGGCGGGACTGGAAGCAGGCTCCCTGCTGGGCCAAAGGCAGGCTCCTAGCTGGTCCGAAAGTCAGGCTTCCGGTTGGGCCAGCAGGCATGCCGTCTTGGGCTTCCGCTCCTTGATCGGTTGGGCCAACTCGAGCTCTGGGTTGATGGGCTAACTGATCAGCCTAACCTAGCGAGATAGTGGACCTGAGCTTGGGCCTCTCATCCATGTCGTGGCCTGGACTCACGAGTCCAAGTTCGGGGCCTGAGCCGGTTAGGCTTTGGTCTTAATCCCATAACTTCATCACGAGTCTCTCACTCCCTTAGTCGAGTAGCAGGGGCGGAGGTAGCTTGATTGGCAAGGGGGGCATGGCCCCTCCCAACTATTTTTTTTTTTGGATAAGGGTCAGTTTGGTCCTCGAAGTTGCAAAAAAAGGGTCAAATAAGTCCTTATATAGAATATTCTGTCCGGACATGCCATTTGAGGTGGCTCCCGGTGGAATTTTTTGATGAAATTTTTTGAGCATCTTATTCATTAAGTCTAGTTTACTCATACCAAATTTCAGATAAAAATTCAATGGGGAAGACATTCAAATGAATTCTTGAAGATAACTGTGCCGTTAAAAGCGATGTTATCTTCAAGAATTTATTTGAATGTCTTCCCGATTGAATTTTTAGCTGAAATTTGGTATGAGTAAACTAGACTTAATGAGAAAGATGCTCAAAAAAATTTATCACAAAATTCCATCGGGAGCCACCTCAAATGGCATGTCCGGACAGAATCTTCTATATAAGGACTTATTTGACGCCTTTTTTGCAACTTCGAGGACCAAACTGACCCTTTACTCATTTTTTTTAAGTTAGTAGACTTAAATATTTTTTTATCCCCCCCAAACCTTTACGAAAGTGTTTTAAAGACTATTACTAGTTGGCTTAGTTGCTACTTGGTGCTATATGTACTACGTGTCTACGTACTACGTAACTTATTGCTACTACGGCTCTAAAGGCCCATCGTATTGAAATATGGAGACAAAGCATTCCAAGCCCAAAATTAAAATATACTAGTATTTATTAAAATTATTTTTGAATCACATTTACTCATTTAATATAGTAAAAAGAGCCTAGGCAAAATCTTACATCGTGTATACTAACGGCAGAACTCCATTCAACTCTTGTTCGGAAATAGTCGGCAATTTATTAATTATTTTACATTGAAAGTATTTTCATTAGTTTATTATTATTGACTAAAAAAATCTAGCATAGTTAGTTAAATGGTTTAACTTGTTTTGTTCCTAGATACGTAATCTGTGATTATCAATTTCTTTAACATTGTTAACATTTCATATTGGGTTATATTTTACAGTTACTAATCTACATAAATAACTAATTCAATAATTAGTGAATACTTAACTAAAGAAACAACATTAATTATTTAAAGATTATTACTCCCTCCGTCCAATTTTCAGTTAGCCAAACACTATAATCAAGAATGTAGAAATTATAAAAACGTGAAATTACAATAACGTAATATTATATGAGAAAAACGTAGAAAAAAGTTTTTACAATACACCTACAATATTTATTGTCTTACTATAGTAATGAAATTAAGAGCTTAAACACTACAAGGATTCTCTTATCCATGATTTCTATGACATACAAGAGTGACGTTTATAAATTTTAACTCACACGATATGATCGCAGTCAACCCCATTCAGCATGATCGCAGCAAGCACATCAAGATTGATTACCATTTTGTCAGAGAACGTGTTGCTCATGGAGATCTCGTAGTCAAATATGTTCCTACTCAATTACAGCTAGCTGATATTTTTACCAAAAATTTATCCAGTCAGCGCTTTGAATTTTTACGTGCCAATCTGCGCGTTGTTTCCCCTGCACAGATTGAGGGGGTGTAATAATCTATAGTACAGGACATATTTGTAATTTATAATTCTTCTCCTCTTATAAATATAACATAAGGACACCCTATTAGGGTGAGCCATTATTCCACAATTATTATTTCATACATGTACTTTTGAATATTTTAGATGAATATGAGTACATAATTTAATGTTTATTTCATTTTTATTTGAAATGTTTTTTATTTTTCATTTCACCCCGGCCCCCTCTCCCTCATATCCCCCCTATCGAGTAGTAGACTAGACTAAGAGGGAGTGGTCCATGTCAGCTGCCAATCTAAAATTTATTCACATACCAGGGAGCATTAATTGTGGATTTTGCCGATCCCTCAAATTATGGAGATATCCTAATTTTAATAAAGCCTCCAGTTTTAAAAGACCCCAAATTATTTCCCTCAGAATCCCAACACTCCAGCAGTAAGCTTTCTTCCAGATTTGAGAACCCGGGTCAACTTTCGGAAATTCTTGAAATTCATTATTAATTTTTTATTATAATTTTCGGATTTTTTCCCTTAAGGGTCATGAAAAAAGAAAAAAGTTTTTTTTTTCCTTTTTTTTTCTTTTTCTTCTTTCCTTTCTTCTTATCTTTCCTTATTTCTTAGACCGGCGGAAATCCACGCACAGGGGTCTTGGGAGTCGCGTCTTCTGCCCGTGACAGGACTTGTGTGAACTGTAGCCCTAGTGTCATGATCAATGACAGGCTTTGACCGACACATCGCAGTTTGGGTCTCCCCTCACCCGATTCCTAGTCGCCAGCGGCTGTCTTGTGCAACTCTCGGGTTGCCGATGTCATCTCTGAAATCCGACAGTCGTCATGCACTGCTCTGTGGCGACCGGCGTCAATCCTGGGACATGGCAGTTGTCCTGCGCTGCTCTCTGGCGATCTGCGGCAGTCTTGAAGCATGACGGATGTCCCACCTCCGGATGGGGCATTTGGAAGGCTAAAGACGTGGCCACCTTTGTCTTGCGTTGCTCTCTGGCGGCCGGCGTCAATTCCTAACCTGTGGAACACCCGGGTTACAGCGGCTGCAGCCGGGTCTTGAGGGAGTCGGGCAACTATTTGAGACAAGCTAGCGCCAACATGACTGCCCCCCGTCCCCGACGGCTGCCACTCTACAGGCAGGCGTTGCTCACAAAGCTGGCAGTTGTCCCATTGCTGACCGGCATCGCTCTTCCTCTAGGTATTCAAGGGTGTTCCTCTTGTTGACGCACTCCATGTAGGCCAACGGTTTGACTTTTTTTTTTTGTTTTCGCTAGTCAGCCCCTTCAAGTTTGACCATACAAGGAGTGGGGCACTCCCATCACAGAATCGATGGCCAAGAACTCCACTCATAGACGCAGCCTGATGGCGAGGGTTCCCCTGATGTTGGCGTCTCTATGGTGGATGACAGTACCTAACTTCCTCTGATTGCGGTTGGCAGATCCTTGCACGCCACCATAAACGACGAGCAGAATGGTGTGAATGGGCCGTCACCTAGGGTAGATTGAAAACATGGGGCAACCATGCAACCTGCACGGGTCAATCGTAGCCCTGACCACGCATGCAGGGCGATGTTACCGAACGGCAGGTTGATGTTCTATACTTTTTGATTTTAGCTGGGCGAATTACTATCCATGAGGGTCGACTCCTCAATGTTCCAGATAGAGTGCATGCACCCTATGGACGTGCCAGATTCCGACAACAATTCCGATGTTTGAGAGGACCTGAGTTTTTGGTGGGACCTTGATAATAGTGGGATAACGGACCTCCCTTCTCATGTCACAGACGAGGACCTTGTCACAGTATACAACCTTATTAGTGGAAATTGTTTGTTGAAACTTTCGGTGGCTACTGATGTATTGAATGATCCCACACCCCTTACTTTGGGATCCATATTTGCTCTCTGGAGCTAGGGATGGTCGTGCTTTTGCATCCCTTCCTGGTGCAGTTCCTCCTCCACTTCCTCTGGTTGGGGTCGGGTCAATTAGTTCTGGTGGCTCACATGTTCGCTGCAGCTTTTGTGGAGTGATGTAAGAACGTGGGCATCACTCCCACGATTGATTTGTTTTCTAGTTGCTTCCAATGGAGTGCTTTCAGTTTTTTTGTCTCAGTCTCCCAGAGGCCGGTGATGGAAGCAGAGATGGATTTGGGTGTCCAACCCCCACCTCCCGTCACCTCCGTTTCAGTGGGGTGAGCGTGTTCGGAAGTGTCACCGGGTCGCCCTCACCCCTAATCTCAAGCCCTCCATCGAGGCACTATTTGCAAGCAGCTTCCACTTCATCAGCTCATACTTAGGTGATTGTTGTCTCCTTAGTCCATGTTTGGCTACTTTGTATTTCACCTTCCTCATGCTCGTGTTTTTTTTGCAGATGTGCCAGATATGCTTGAGAAGTTTGTCGTCGGGGGCGAATCCGATGAGGAGGCTCAACCAGTTGTCATCCTTACAACTCCTAGGGCTGCCATGGGGAAAGAGCATGGAGCCCCCTCGGACCGTGCATCACAGATTCCGAGGAGGGTGAGGATTGCCTTTAGTCCTCAGTCGACCGTACCAGTGAAGGAGAAGCAGAAGAGGAATATCATTGACCAGCTAGTCGACTTGGATGGATCTGATGACGAGGAGGAGGAGCTTTCCCAGTTGCTTCCCATGTGGCCCCTAAGGCCATTGTGGGGATAGAGCTCGGAGCCCCATAGACCGAGAGGAGCAGGTCTCGAAGAAGGCGAAGGCTAAGGGGCTTCGAGCTATTTCCCCGCAACAGCCTTGGGGCTACAGGAGCAGTGACAAGGCGAGGCTCCTCCTCCTCGTCATCGAATCCATCCAACTCGACTAGCCGGTCAATGATATTCCTCTTCTGCTTCTCCTTCACGGATACGGCCGGTTGAAGCTTGAAGGCAATCCTCACCTTCCTCGGAATCTGCGCTGCACAATCCGAGGGGCTTTGTGCTCTTTCCCCTTGGCAGCCCTGGGAGTTGCAAGGATGACGATTGGTTGAGGTTCCTCATCGGATTCGCCCCGACGGCAGACTTCTCAGACATATCTGGCACATCTACAGAAGAAAAACACAATAATGAGGAAAGTGAAATACAAAGTAACCAAACATGGACTGAGGAGGCAACAATCACCTAAGTATGAGATGATGGAGTGGGGACTCCCTATAAATAGTGTCTCAATGGAGGGCTTGAGACTAGGGGTGAGGGCGACCCGGTCAATTTTCCGAACACGCTCACCCCACTAAAAGGAGGTGACGGGAGGTGGGGGTCAAACACCCAAATCTATCTCTTCCTCTAGCCCTTACCTGAGTCGGGGTAACCCGACTGGAATAATTTGTTCACCGACCTCTGGGAGACTGAGGCAAAGAAGCTGGAAGCACGCCAGTAGAAGCAGCTACAAAACAAATCAATTGTGGGAGTGATGCCCACGTCCTTACATCGCTCCACAAAAGTTGCAACGAACATGTGAGCCGTTGGAGTCAGCTGACTTGGCGCCACTCCGAGGAAGTCGAGGAACTGCACCAAGAAGGGATGCAAAGGCACGACCATCCCTAGCTTCAGAGAGCGGATATGAACCCAAAGTAGGGGCTGGGGGATCATTCAATACATCAGTAGCCACTAGAAGTTTCGACGAACAATTTCCACCAATCAGATTGTATGTTATGACAAGGTCCTCGTCTGTGATACGAGAAGGGAGGTGTGATATTCCACTATTATCAAGGTCCTACTAAAAACTTGGGTCCTCTTGAACGTCAGAATCGTCGTCGGAACCTGGCACGGGTTACACATGCATTATATCTGGAACATTGAGGAGTCGACCCTCAGAGATAGTAATCCGCCCAGATAAAATCAACTTGAGGAGTACATCAGCATGTCGTTCGGTAACGTCGCCCACATGCATGTGTGCTCTATAGTCGCGGTTGACCTGTGCAGGTTTCATGGTCACCCATGTTTTCCATCTACCCTAGGCGACGACCCATTCACACCATCTTGTCTGTCGTGCATAGTCTGCAAGGATCTGTCAACCGCAATTGGGGGGGAAATTTGGTACTGCCGTACTGTCATTCGCCACGGAGACGCCAACATTGGAGGAACCCCCGTCGTCAGTCTGCGTTTCTGAGTGGAGTTTTTGGTCGTCGATTCTGTGATGGGAGCGCCCCACCCCCTCCATGGTCAAACTGTCGACCAACATGTAATGTGTCAACAAGGGGAGCACCCTTGACCGCCTAGAGGAAGGGTGATGTCGGCCAGTTGCGGGACAACTGTCAGCTTCCTGAGCAACGCCTGCCGGCAGAGTGGCGTCCGTCGGTCCCCAACCAACACCGTCCAGTCAAAGGTGAAGCCAAACACGAGGGGGGCTCACGTGGGCGCTAGATTGCCTCAACTTTAGTTGCTTGACTCCCTCAAGACCCGACTGCCGACATTGTATCCCGAGTCTGGTGTCCCACGTGCTGGGAATCAACGTCGGTTGCCAGAGAGAAGTGCAAGACAAGGGTGATTGTCGGCCTTCCAAACGCCCTATTGGTAGTAAGACAGCCACCATGTTTCAGGACTGATGTCGGCCGCTAGAGAGCAGCGCATGACAGTCGTCATGTCTCAGAATTGACGCCGGCCGACAGCCGCCAACGAACATTGCAGGACGGCCGCCGGATTTAAAAGACGACACCAACAAATCGAGAGTAGTGCAGGACAGCCGCTGACGCCAGCGAATCCGGTGAAGGGGAGATCCTACTTGCGACGTGTCGATCAAAGCATATCGCTGACCACGACGCTAGGGTTACAGTTCGCACATGTCCCATCACGTGCAGAAGACGCGACGCCCAAGAACCATGCACGTGGATTTCCCCCGATCCAAGAAACAAGGAAGGAGAAGAAAGGAAAGAAGAAAACAAAAACAAAAACAAAATGGGGGAAATAAAAATCTAAAAATGATAATTGAAAAATTAATAATGAATTTCAGGAGTTTTTGGAAACTTTATTAAAATTAGATCTCTATAAATTGGGGGATTGACAAGATCCACAATTAATGCACCCTTGTATGTGAATAAATTTTAGATTTGCAACTGACATGGACTACTCCATCTTAGTCGAGTCTACTACTCGACTAAGTCAGTGGGGGACTCGTGATGGGGTTATGGGACTAGGCCTAGGGATGGACTCGGGCCGGGCCAACCGGCCCGGAACCGGACCGGCCCGCTACTGTGCGGACCCGGACCGGCCCGGTGAACCGGTTCGGTTCCGGTTCGGGCCTCCCGGCCCGGTGGTATACCGGTCCGGGCCCGGGCCTCCAGTTTAGTGAACCGGCCCGGCCCGGCCGGGCCCGGTTCGGGCCGGAATTTAATTTTTTTTTCTTTTTTTTGAAATTTTTTTTAAGTTTTGGGTTGGATTAAGTATTTTGGGCCATTTGAGGTGGTTTGGGGTGGAGGGGGAGGGGTAGGGGGTTAAATAAGAGAAGAAGAAGAAGAAAAAAAAAACATTCCGGGTGGCCCGGCCCGGCCCGGCCCGGTTCTGGCCCGGAATCGGAACCGCCCACCACCGGTTCGGGCTCGGGCCTCCTTTTTCTGAACCGAGGCCCGGCCGGGCCCAGGCCCGAACCGGGCCCGAACCGGAACCGGTCCACCCCTAACTAGGCCCAAAGCCTAATTGGCCCAAGCCCCGAACCTGGACTCGTGAGTCCAGACCCACGACATGGACCAGCAGCCCAAGCTCAGGTCCATTATCTCATCAGGCCAGCCCGACCAGTTGGCCCAGCAACCCAAAGCTCGAGCCAGCCCAACCGATCAAGCCCGTCAAGGAGCGAAAGTCTAACAAACAGGAAACCCAAGACTCTACCGACCCAACCGGAAGCCTGCCTTCTGGCCCAGCTAGGAGCATGTCTTCCCGTCCAGCCAGGAGCCTGCCTCCAGTCCAATAGGGAGTCTGTTGCCTCCTGTCCAGAGGAGAGTCTGCCTTCGAGCCCAACGGGAGGGTACTCGGGCGTAAGGCCTGCCAGCCAAGCCGACCCACCAGCCACGAAGAGTAACGACCAACAATTAATGCGCTGTTTAATTATGTATTTAATTCTGTATTATTGTTGTAATTAATTAGCCATTAGTATATTTGGCAGTTACCATTTGTAATCGCCTATAAAAGTCAAGTCCGATTCAAATAATAGACATGCAATTTCTGGCTATCAAACTCTTTAGCAACTTCCTATTTTCCTAGTACTTTTCTGATTCCTGCTTGAGTGTCTATTGTAGCTTTTTCCAAAAAAAAAACTAGGAGCATCCTTTTTTGGACCAACACATCACATTTGGGGCTAAACATTGCATGATTGCAATACAACAAATAATGAAGAATGTACACCATAATATTTTTTGTTCATAATTAATTTGTTCCAACAAAACTGTAGAGGCATGTCATGTGAGGACTATTAGGTTTGGTGTTCATTTTTTTGTCAGTAGTTCTAACTTCTAACTTTTTTTAAACTATTCTCTGTACTTTTTGCCGAATTCGGACTATTAGGACTATTCAGCTTTTCAAGGCAAAGTAGGGGGTATCACATCCGCATTGAATCCAAACTGCCTTTAATTCAATGCAATTCAATTTGGGTAGAGTGCTAGATTTTTATTAGGGTTTTAATGTGTTCCTTTTGTTTAGTTTGTTTTAGTACGGTTCAATCCAGTTTAATTTGTTCTAGTGCAGTTCAAAATAATATTACACTTGGACATAGATGTTTTCACTTGAGCTAAAACTTTCTAGTACTTGACTAATGTCTAATCTGATTAGGTTTTATTTGGTTAAGTTTGGTGTGTTTAGGTCTGGTCAAGTGTAAAACTGAAATTGCTCCAAGTGAAAACATCTGAGGTTCACATACTTCAATGCAATAATATGAAGTACAATTGAAATACATACATGAATAACAGCTATCTGTATGTACAAAATGGATATGATTCTTTCCTATGTAAGAAGTGGCATCATGAAAGCATAAACAAATGAGTATTAGTAGCAACACAGAACACATTACTATAAGAGACCAACCTATTAGCATGCATTGCAACTTTTTCGGCACGTACCATAGTAATCAGGAGAACCAACCATGAAAACAGGATTTCTATCACACTCCCCAATGTCAGCCCAGCGAGGACAACTATCATCTTCATCCGTGCAATCGGTAGAGGTGATCCCAATTGGATCCTCTTTTTCTCTAGTAACAGCTGTCGGATAGAACAACTTTATAGCGTACGCCATTTCGCCCTCAATGACAGCACATCTGACATGAGTACTAGTGTTGTCGGGAGTCGCGTTAAGATTGACATTAAAAAACAGTAGTGCATTTCCTTTAGTAGGTCTGACGGAATTACTACTCTCCCCGCAATTGGATTTGGACCATACCTTGCTCTGCAAACGAGAGGTTTAGGCTATTAAATGGAGACCAACTCACCCCAGAAGGATCCTCAATAATGTCTTTGGATTATAGACAATGCTTGGGGAAGGCAAATAAATAAATTATTTTATAATGTTTAGCTACCTTGGAAAACGAAATATAATATCATCAGTTCATCAGAGATAACAAAAGTTTACAAATAAAATAAGTAAAATATAAGAAAAGTGCAAAAATAAGAGTTCATGTCTTAATTTCCCTAAATAGGAGTAATATATTGTGTGTGGTAAAAAATACCCCAGTGTTTAGTGCTTAGGGTTAGAGCTTAGGGTGGCATTAGCCCAGCGAAGGTCTAGTGACCGGTGGCAACAATCCAGCGACCAGTGGCGGTGGTAATTGGCTGGCGGAAGCGGCGGCGGAGGCGGTTGTTAATAGCTTCAAACCTTATAGGGTGTTTTTGGCCGATCACAAATTATTACTCCTATTTAAGGAAATTTAAACATTAATTTCTATTTTTATATTTTAGATATGTTTGCTCCTATTGTGCGAATTTTCTCTTATAAGTTTACTGAGATTTAACCTGCCCCCACCGCCGCCACATTTCTTTCCTTTTTATTTTACTCTTTTTTCATGCTATTTCGTTTCATTGTTATTTACCGAGTTTCAAACAAGATCCCAGGAGGTGAGGTTTAGCTCATGTGGTTATTTGGTTATAACTTATAAGCAAATTAGAGTAACAGTAGCTGTGTCAATATATGTCTTACCCTTGATTCAGGGAAAAGGATGTGCCCGCCAGCAGTGATGTTGGAGAGGTATAAAATTACGGTGGCCATTAGCGGTGCATCTTTCACTTCAGTGGAATTATTATCGAAATAGCTGTACTTTTTCTCAGGATCATCGAACTCATTATGAAAAACCTTGAAGGGCTTGCCATTCTCTGGGAAATGAAGGGAAAAAAGCAACTCACCATTTCAAAGAAGACAGATGGTTTTGAAAGTAAGCCATGTAGAGTGTTGACTTTCAAAACACATTTAGAAAATCTGAAAATGATAACAGACGATACCTTTGGGCAGAAAGGTCCAAGCTGAAATTTTTTCTTCAATCCCAGCAACAATTTCATCCTAGATCCAGACAAACAAACAAACTACATTCCTTATTTAAACTACTTACAACTGCATGTTCGGTCATTCCATGATATTAAAATGATGGAAATAAGGAGCTTATATATGTTCCAAGTCAAAAAAAACCACACCAGTTGTCACCTTCTCCACATTACTATAATCTGAAGCACCGTTTTCAGCAGAACTGTTATGCTTGGCATGAACCTACAACAATAATGTTGTAGACTTGTAGTATGTGCATATGAAATGCTCTGTTCACATAATGAAATAAAAAAAGAAAAGGACGCAAAGAGAATAAACTAAGGAGGTACACAATACAGACTTACCAAATCCATTAAGTGATCACACTCTTCCTCTGATAGGAAACCTCTGTATAAAAAGACCCTATCCATGAAAAGAAATCAAATGTTTACACAACCAGTTTTTGTGGCAACACAGGGAATTTATTATGTAAATAGAATTTTAACATAATAATTCACAATTGTTCATTTATGCCTCAGTGATGATAACATTTGAGGTTGGATAATTTTCTTGTATTCCAGACACTAAGCAGTGACGGAGTCAAGACTTTGTACAATTGCGGCATTCTTGTATTTTAAGAACATAGAAAATCTTCCGCTTTTTCCTAGATTACTAATTAGGGCATTCCCAATTTGTAGTCGCTAACTTTCAACTTCTGTACTTGTGGTGTACAAGTATGAATTTCTTCCTACTTTTGGCCCTCTCAAGTCAACTATGGGGCAAAGGTTAATTGGGGAATAGTAAGTAAAGTGAGCCTGGTGAAAGGTCGGAAGGGCCAAGAGTGCCAACTGCCAAGGAATCAATAGTCATGCATCAAAAGCGGGAAAAAATGAATTTTGATGACTAAAATTAAAGAGGAAATGATGTAATATTTCTGAGGAATTTTTTCTATAACACTTCCAAGTTTAAACAGTACAAGTGTACAACAAAATTAATGATCTACAAGAGTACCTGACCTTGGCTGCCATGATAGTTGAACGACTTGAGTCGGATCAGGCAAAGTTGACTTCATTCGCTGACCAAGCTTCACATCTTTGTCTTGGATCACCTGCTTTATTCTTAACTCCTTTCGGCTGTTCCATCCAAATTTCCCAAGTGAAAAAACAATAATGTTAGTGTTAAGAAACGACCCATTAGCACTGATATCATGTTTTTATGCTGCCATCTGCTAAGGTGGCATTACTGAATTTGTTGTCATTCATGGAACTCCTTGATCAAACTGTTAGGGTAAGATCACCTCGAGTGATGACAACATAACACATGTCATGATGACAGCAGCTCGTTTGTGCATATTGCAATATAGTCCGTGGTAACCATTCATGTAAGGTTTGAAAAATGATATAGTGGTAAGTCTGAATAATATATGAGCCAATTAAGCACAAACAAATAATGAACAATGAATCGATTTAACTAAGACTAAAAAAGCTCACAGATATACTTATACTTCAATAAGTTGTCATTTTGCATGGTAAGTCATCCCACTGATCAAATATAAAGATATTAAATTGGAATATAAAGTATGGAAATACTCCTCTAATACCTTTAAGCAGCAAATCCCCAAAAATATGAAGACAGTAAGACACTCAAAATTTTCAATCACTTGCAGTGTTGAAGGCAGCAGAAAACAATGAGGTAGGCTGGTAAATAAAAAACACATACACTTTTCCACAAAAAATGTACACATAAAATATAGGGTTTTTACGCAACTCGAGATGAGTTACACCAAACATGTGCTTGTTGTTGTCACAGCCTCCCTATCAGCATACATATGTAACAATTCTGGTGATGCCACATTACAAGTGTGCAGTGTAATCCCACCCAAATTTAGTGGGTGAATGAGATGGCAAGATTCACTATCAATGCTGAAATGATGGTCAGCTTGGTGCTCTATATGTCCGTATATGGAGGAACTCTTATAACGATATTTTCTAATCAAGGGTTTCAAATCCTGTCTAAAACCAAATTTGTTGACAGCATTGAATAGAAACACTCGATTGGATTGATAAAGAGGAGAAACACTCAATTGGATTGATAAAGATGACATGTTCTGAAATGAAGAAAATCAAAATACTTGCACGAATGAAGTATATGCAGCTAAATGCCATGATGTAATAAAATCCGTAAGAAAAGAATACGCCAGTCCCGCAAGCTAAAATGCAAAATAGCATTGTTTACCTTTCGAGAAAATTAACATCCAAGTTACTTGCAAGAGCGGCGAGAATCAGAGCTGGGAGAAGACGCACCATCGTTAACCAAACAGACGGTCAATAGAAATGCAAATTTCAAAGCTTTGTCAAGGAAGACAATCTGTTCGAGGTTGTCTGAATTTACAAGCCCAAATCTTAGGTGCGAATTGCAATCTGAAGATACTTGAGGAGTCATTTGAAATTTCAGAAATTTAGATACCACGCTATACATAGAAAGATTTGCCTCCCCATTTGGGAAAAACTAAAAAGGCAATATTTTATTTTGGGAAAAGAGTCAAATAGACTCTCAAACTTACATAAAAAACTTAAGAGAAATCATCTCATCAGGCCGGCCTGACGGGCTGCCCCGTCCGGCCGAGCCCGTTTGGGCACCTTCCCGGTGGAATTTTTTGATGAATTTTTTTGAATATTCCGGACCAGTTAACTTGCAAAAATCATTTGACGACCTTCCCGATCGAATTTTGAGCTGAAATTTGGTATGGACAAACTAGACTTGATGAGGAACATGCTCAAAATATTTCATCAAAAAATTCCACCGGGAAGGTGCCCAAACGGGCTCGGCCGGACGGGGCAGCCCGTCGGGCCGGCCTGATGAGAAGAGCTCTCAAAAACTTAAATATAACAGTTTTTGTCCGCCGACGCCATTTGAGACAGTTCACGATGGAATTTTTTGATAAATTTTTTTAGCATCTTATTCGTTAAGTCTAGTTTACTCATACCAAATTTCAGCTAACAATTCAGTCGGGAAGGCATTCAAATGAATTCTTGAAAATAAATGCGCAGTTGTTTTCAAGAATTCATTTAAATGCCTTCTCGATTGAAGTTTTAGCTAAAATTTGGTATGAGTAAACTAGACTTGATAAATAAGATGCTCAAAAAAATTCATCAAAAAAATCCACCAGGAACCGCTTCAAATGGAGATGGCCGGACAGAGCCTCTCATATAAGGGTTTATTTGACCTTTTTATGTAAGTTTGATGGCCTATTTGACCATTTTCCCTTTTATTTTTTACCTTTAGTTTGATACTTGTATTAGCGTTTCTGTTTGAGTGTATAGTTTATTGAATTATATAGTTATTGTTATTTTTATTATGACTTTCTTACATAACTTTTATTATCTACTTCATTGTTTAAAGAAGCATGATTTACAAATTCTTTTTAATTAAGTTGATAATAAAATAATGTTCACAAACTGTGAAAGAGACAAGATACGTCATACGTCTTCTACTTTGTACAAATTATAGAGATGAAGTTACTTCACATATATTCCGTAATCTATTTACATTTTTATGGTACATACAAGCGGTGCCGGACCCACAGATTTGTCAGAGCAGGAGCACACTAGACACTAAACTTGCTCTATAATAAAAATTTCAAATGTAATAAAGATAGTAAAAAGTAAAGCAATAGCATAAATTATACAGAGTAGTTAATTACATACTACGTATTAAATAGTTCATTTCTGCAACTTTGGTAAATCAACCTACGAGTTTTCATATTCTGAAAATGTTGCATAATAGTTTCATTATCAATACTCCTAAAAACATCTATCTCGATGTAGCACACCAAACAATCTGTAAGATAATTATTTCTTATCTTATTGCGAAGATTTGTCTTGATAATATTCATCGCAAAGAAGACTCTTTCAACGGTGGATGTTGCAACTGGTAATACTAAAGTCAACTCAATCAGACGATATACCAAGTGAAAAGAATTGTGAACTTTAAGCTCAACCATCTTTTTGTAAACTTCACCAATAGTCTGTACGGTACAAAATAATTCATTTGTTCTCATTTCATATATCCACACCTGGAGTTCCTCTTTCAGTTCCATTCGATCAACATATGAAAAATCGCATGAATATAATTCCGCGAGGTTCAGTAGCTTTGACTCATAGAAATTGGAAGACTTATCTAGGATTGGCGTTGGTGCGAGACTACGAGGTCTGGCCTTCTCATTTGCGAGACTGGTGCGACTTGCGAGCAGCAAGCCTAGCCTTCTGATTTCTCGTTCAGTCAATTGCTGAATTGCGCAAATGGCTTGAAGTTGGGCGCTAGAAGGGGTGTAAAATTGGGCTGAAATAGTACTAATAGTTTATTTTTGGGCCCTTCAACTTGTTTTTTAAACTTTTATCACGTGTTTTAGATTACTTTTAGTTGGTCGTATATTAACCCTTGACTATTTTTTCTCCCTTTTGAGAATTATATACTTGTATATTTTATTTTAATTCCACTAAAATTTAAATATTGTATATTAACTGTTAATTTATATAACCGTAACATTTTAGTATTTTGATTAACTGATACTAATAATTTTTTGTACCGGTTGGGGCACTAATTTTACCCGAGGTAGTAGGAGTGAAATTTTTGGCCGAAAGCAGAGACATCTATTTTACCCTAAGTACTAGTAGTGGAATTCCTAGACGGAAGCCGGGGCACTTGCCCCAGTAGCCCCCCTAGGTCCTCCATGGCATACAAGCTTTTTACAATTACATACGTAGTACGTAGTATAGACTTCTTCTCCAACTGTGCAAAGCAATGTGGAGTACAATAATTATTGTGTGGTTTGCACATCAAAATTTTATAGTATCTTCCTTCGTTAATTTAATAGTGTTGCATTAAAATTCGGATACCAGCATAACACATTGTATAAATTAGTTTAAAGTATATCTAGGAAAAGTTTAATCAATTAAATAAATTAAAGCTGTAAAAAGTTTGATGTTTTGTTCATTTTAAATTTACTACGGAGTAGTTTAGAATCTTTTCATTTGCTTTACTTGGACTGTAATTTGCTGGTCTGGTCTGGTCTGATCTGGTCTGGTCTGGTCAGAACTGGTCTGGTCAGAACTGGTCTGGTCTGGTAAGGTCTGATTTCTTTGTATTTTTATAACTATCCAAGTCTGATCTGGTCTGATCTGGTCTGAACTGGTCTGGTCTGGTCTGGACTGGTCTGGTCTGGTCTGGTCTGGGGCAAATTACATACAAGTAAAAACATCCTAATAAGGAACTCAAATCCCACTCATACCATTTTTCACACGCAAATAAAAATTGACAATGTCCAAATGTCCAATTGGTGGAAGGGGTATGAGTTATGACCGTGAACCAATAAACTAACAATGATACGTACTTTTTTTTAAATAAATCTGACTTTTGGAATACATAACAAAAATGAGAGAGTTATTTTCTACTACAAATTCAGCCATTTAAGGCATACAAACTAATGCAAGTATCAAACAACCAAATTATGGTTATTTCAAAATGAGGTCACTTGTTTGATACTACCCATAATATTCTTTTCACTTACCCTTTTAGGAAGTCCCAAAAAAATCTTCATATTTCCTTTTTTAGAAAATCTTGTATGACTAAGGATGTTTCCTTTTAGACTGAAATTTGTTGGTCTAGTCTGGTCTGGTAACGTCTGGTCTTTGTGTATTTATAACTACGGAAGTCTGGTCTGATCTGGTCTGGGTCTGAAAACAATCCAAAAGAAAAACATCCTAACATTCATTTACTTTTTTCTTATTCAACTACAATCTTACATTTACATTGGTTCTCACTTTCTTAAACTTCAAACAGAGAAAAATTATATGGGACCAAAAGAGTACGTATTATTATTGATTTATGTGTCATGATATTATTTAAAATCATTTTCCCTAACATGTAAGAGGAAGAATATAGAGAAATTGTCCAAGGGAGAATGTATATACTCTGGCTTTGATATATGAATTTATATACAAGTTAACATGTAAGAGGAAGAATATAGAGAAATTGTCCAAGGGAGAATGTATATACTCTGGCTTTGATATATGAATTTATATACAAGTACTCCGTATATGATAACTTTATGACTCCATTTATCTCATTGCCAATGTTTTCCTCTACATAAAAAAATACAACCAACAATGTTTCTTTTTTACATCCAAGAAGACACTCGCCACCTTATCTTCCAAAAGTAAACTAATATTATCAACATTGGGTATGGTTTATTTTGAAGATGGTTCAAGTCTTTAAGAGTAGTTTTTAGCCTTTTAATTCTCATATCTCGATATCACCTTTGATTTAATTCACATTCACCACCTTTGGTTTCTTTTTTAACATGAAAGATAACTCTGAGTTTTTCAATTTGGAAATTTGAGCGATCACAGGATTCACAATTTCACAGCACGCTTCTCATATTTTTGGTTGAAAAGGCATTTATTTACTTAAAACATTGTAGAAGGTAATAAATAATGATCATATCTACATGAGAAGGATGAGTTCAGACAAATTCTTAGCCAATTATAGCTGACAACATGTTGTGAGTTGTGACATTAGAGAAAATACGGAGTGATTATATATGAGAAAAATGTGATGCATAGTATTCTTTGATTTTTTTGTAATGCTACATCTTTTACAGAAACAAGCCTTTATTTTTTCTAATTAGGCTTGGTGTTGATATCATCCCACTTATTAGATGGGTAAGTTTACAAGTTTTGCAGGCAATGGTGAAGGAGCCATCTAACCATTCTTGAATACAAGAATTAAAAAATCACACTCATCTCACTAACAGTTTCACACTATACAACAAACAAACAATTACCAATTATACAACAAGGGGCTTCTTCAAGATGATGTGACCTGATTCATCCTTGAAAAACAGACGATCAATCACTTCATCCCAGGTTTCCCTGCCCCGATTGCTTTTCTTTGATGTTTCCGCTGAAGAGGAGTATTTGATGTCATCCTCAAAAGTTCCATACTCAGAGGGTGAAAAGGCATGGGGGACTTCCAACGTGACCGCTCTCTTTAGGGCAGCCTTATACTCCTCACTGTGCTCTTTAGCCAGTGATTGTTGCCTCTCCATCTTCTGTGTTGCTGGAATCTCCATCATCCCCTCCTTTTCTCTCATTAACTGTATTACCAGTAACAAAGAAGCTGATGTTCTCAAAACAAAATGCCGTATAAAGCATTAGTCTGGTAGTGTTTAATTGGGGACTAATATTATGCACCTAAGCCACCTAGGGTCCATTTGGAACTTGGGAAATGCTAAGGAAAGAAAATATGGAGAAAAATGCAGGGGGGTTGTTTTATACGTGGTACATTTGTTCAAACTTAATTAATTTATGTATTTCTATTATATTATGACTAAGAAATAAAACAAAAATCAAAGTATTTATCAAATTTTATTTTTATTTGAATTTTCAATGTTAAACCAAACACAAGAAAGAAAAATCGTCAACACTTTTTCAGTTTTCCCTCTCCATATTATTTTTTAGGTTCCCACTGTAATTAGAAATTAAAGATTGGCTTCAGAATAATTTAGTTGGCAGGGATCAATGTAATAATCATTTCATTTATTTCAGTAACTTTCCAATCAATGGACTTACATCCAGTGCTCTTTGGGCTTCCCTCTCAATCCAAATAATGGCATGATCAGAAGTTGCATTACACGACAAGACTATATGTTCAAATCTCCCATCCACAGGGACTGCTGTTCTCACCGTGGGTGGAAACCTGCCACACCTGCATTCACAGAGGGTTACTAATAACGTAGATTTAATATTTAATTATTATTAGGGACTCCTATTGTAATTATGACATTTATTCTATTATATATATCTGCCAGGGCTACCATTATGGTTAAGCCTGGTCATTATTTTCACATGGTATCAAGAGCCAGAACTTTTATACCCTAATTTTTTTTTCGGTCCCATCATGTCTTCGACCGAGTCATCCGCCGCGGTTAACACCACCGCCGCTGCTTCAACCGGCTCTAGCGGCGCAACCACCAGTGCCTTCTTTTCCACCACTGCGCCGGTCTTCTCCTCTGTCTCCAGTTCTTCAGTGCTTGGATCCCCTCTGCAATTCTCCAGGCCGGGCGCAGGTTTTACCTTGCCGCCGCCGCCGACTTTGTTCCCAACATCCGACGCAGCGCCGTGGGTAATCGGAAACTTAAAGTATACTACCCCTCCTATCCAAAAAGTAAGCTCTTGTTCACTATTCCGGTACTCAACTTAACTCGATTTTAATCTCTCGTTCTATATATCAAACTCTAACCATCTGAAATTTTGTGGCTCCCAGAACTTTTTAAGTAATGCCAAATAATGTAAATTTTAATTATTAATACCAATTTGAATATTGTCACAAAGAGTTAACTTTGTTATAAGTCAAACATCAAATGATAACTTGTTTTGGGGACAGAAGGAGCATGTCTTTAATTATAAAGATTAACCATTAAAGAAATAAAAAATGATGCAACTCAACACAAACAATTTTCAGAAGACAATCAAGACATATATTGTGTCATTCTAATGCTCTTGTCTTGCACAGGTAAGACTGTTTAGAGTTTCACACCAGAAGAGACATGACTTAATCTATCTAATCGATCGGAAATCCTTTTGCACAGGTTTATGTATCAAAAACTGTTGTTTCACTTGAGAGGTCTTATGGGGATGCCTTAGAGCTAGTCTTGTGATATCAAAGTCATGAAAGAATATTGTATGGACCTGAAGGAAGTGTTTTTCCATGAAGGATAATGATGAGGGTTAATCACTTAAATGTGAATGAATAAATAAATCCTTTTAAAAGTGAACAAACTGCACCTCTTAAAATCTCTCTTGGGGACTTGGAGTTAAGTTAGATTCCATCTTATTCTCAGCATATACATAGCCATAGTTAATTAGTTATACTCCAGGCATACCTGAAAGGTTTTCTCTCAACAATGTGATAGAGTCGACCAGGGGCATACAGTCTCCTTTCATCTTTAAGCTTCTTCTCTTCAGATATGCATGTATCTCTCAAGCACCGGGCACATAGTAAACATGGCAAACTGATAAAAAATAGATTCAGGTAAAAAAAGTCCGCACAGAGAAAAAAGTTACTCTGTAATACTTACAAAAGGTGAACTATTTGGACTATCAAACTCGAGAATCATTTGTTTACCAAAATAGTGACTTGAATATGTCTTCCAATGGGGTTGCTGTCCGAGGTAAGAAATCATCCTGTTTCAGCGGTGAATATGTTGTTAAATCTTTAGCCATCCTGATGTTATTATAATTATACATTAAGATAAAAGTTGACAACTTCTCAAGAAAAAATGTACGGACAATCGGACATAAATAAAATGTGGCAATAAAAGAGAGAAATGAGTATTCTACAGTCAGACTAATGTTATGTTATAATAAAAGCATGCACAACCATCATAATGCCTTGTTATTGTACCAAAAATTTCCACTTCAGTTATGGTCCCATGACTCGACTATGATGTCATTCCCGCTATAGGTGCATGACTTTCATTTTACCCAAATTTGGAGCTTGACTTTAAAAAGTGTTGTGACTTTTAATCATTTCCAGCCACTAATATGTTTCTTTCTTTAGTAAACACTAGCAGTATTTTTTAGCAATTTTCCCATTCTCCAGCCAAACGCTTTTTATGAGGTCAAAAACATTTCTTCCACTAGAAAGCACTTATTCCTAGGAAATCAGTCACACTAAAATCTCTTTAGGTCATCCCAAAGAAACTTTTGGATCCTGTCTAATCTCGAATAGGACTTAGGGGTTTGATCATTTGGACAAAATATACTAGTCTGGTTTAGTCTGGTATGAACAAGCTTAATTTTGTGTTTGGTCTACTTTGATCTGATCTTGTTTGACATTACGTGTATCTTATAATTATTTAATGGTGGTGGCCTGATAGCGTCTTTATAAGTCTAGTCCATAGTCACATGGATCGCGGTACGCCATGGTACGCGGTACGAAAACGGGAACGCGGATCGCGAATATTAGAAATCCGATACGCGAGGGGGTAGGCTTCTTCGGTACGCTATTTCGGTACGCGGAACGTTGTCCCATTTGTTATGGTACGATGTGCCATAAACATATGTGTAGTAAAATTAAATATAATTAATATAATACGGAGTATTAAACAATTCACTTCAATGAGTCAGTCTTTAATCAATTGCTTATGTGTACCATTTTTTTTTTGGAAATTGTGTACCATAATTAAATACAAAGGTTTGAACCACGAAGTCTTTAAAGATTGTGTGGCCTGGAAAAAGCAACTTCGTTTCAATCCTTAAATTCGTTTAGCTTTTTGAAGTTCGAACTGTGAAATCTAAAGAAATAAAAAGTCGTTTCAGACTTTGATTGAGCGGTGAGCCATCGCTTCGATCTTTGAAGTGCGAACGACAAAGAGAGACTCTGGAGTTCGTCGCCGACCTTGTGTCGCTTGGAAAAAGCAGTTCACGGACGCGACTCTTGGACTGATGTTCGTCGGACGCTGGAGGGGACGTGCGAACCACAACTCGGAAACAGCGTACCACCTGGACGGCAACCGCGAACTGCAACCGGAATCCGCCGTACCGGAGTCGCGAACCAGAAGCGACCGGCACGCAACTGTACCGCGATCCGGTACGCGCGATCCGGAACGGAAAACGCGGCTATGTTAGCGATCCCTGTATCTATGGTCTAGTCCGATTTGAATGAAATAAGACCAAGTGAACTGACAGCTTTTTACCATGTTTAGTAGTTGTTTACATGAAGATCAGAAGATGTAAATAAAATTTTGAACCACATTTTAGACCAAGCAATGAAGCAAATACACACATTTAAAAAATCCATGCATAGATACCTGAAGCACAACAAAGTTGATCACATCAGAATACCCCACGGCAAGATTAAGTGACATACATCTCGTAGGAGCAATGGCAAAGCATCTGACTCTTTTCTTCTCAATATTCCCCAACCTATCACGGTTCCTGACCACCACTATCGCCAACAATGCCGCCACACCTGACCCCAGAGAATGTCCAGTAAAAGTCAGAGTATAACGTGGGTATTTCTCAACCAAGTCCATCAAAATCTCATTTTCTGCATTCAAAACCCACCCAGCTGCTTTCAATAAACCGTTATGAACATATCCACCTTCAAATGACCTCTTACCCAGCTTGTTATCCAACAAAACCGCATAGTCACTCTCCTTAGCCAAATTAAGGCCTCTTATAGCAAGGACTATATCTTCATGATCATGATCGAGGTACAACATATAAGGAGGTGCTCTGCCACAATTATCCTCATACGTTCTTTTCCGAATCACCCAATCCGGATTGATTCCATAGCCTCGAGGGGGTTCCCATTGAGGATTTCTGATATCATCCTCATACACGGCTAATATGTACCTGCAAAGCCTAGGGACGGGTTCAAATTCATCTGGTGTGGCATGGGTCCACGTTTCACTTTCATGGCCCGCAGTGTGGAGGCACCGCTTCCAGGCCCAACGGGCACAGGCGATACAGTAGACACACTCAAGGATTGGTGGGGCACCACACAGAACTGACATTTGTTCCTCTGATGTAGTTTTATTTTCAAATTGTGTGGTTTTTAGTTAACTAACAAGAGAAGAAAGACGAATACTGGTAGCTCCTCAATCCTCAATGGTTATACTTCACAGAATGAAAGTAAAAATAATACGTAGTAATTATAATATCTAATAAGGATAACAACAACAATACTAACAGCAACCACAGGGGTATAGATTATAGAACTTTTACTGATTCGATGGATTCAACCCCTATACGAATATTGGTAAATGAAGAGGGGGGGAACTGAGACTAAAACAATTTATTGCATAACCGGAGCAATTTATTTCCAAAAACAAATACAATAAACCAAAAGAGCTGGAACACTGATTTGAAATCAAATTGGGAAAGGCATTACAATTGACGACAAAGGGGAAGGCATCTGAAGTTGCTTCTGATATCATGATTAAGCAGTGGCGTAGAGAATGAACATCACAATCATCTTCTCCTATTGTTCAGAGACTGGCGAGAAGGGAACCTATACAGTGGTAGACGCCGTACATGCTTCGTGTCTGTATTAATCACCGGTGCGTTGTTTGAAATGAAGGGAGACGGTCACAAGTCTGGCGTAAGTACAACCGAACCAGAGATTTCTTCCCCACCATTTTAACGCCGGAAACTAACCCCAGTATATAAAATTGGGGTTTTCAGCTCACCGTCATGCTGCTCCTACGGTCCGGTCCTACCAAGTACCAAGAGGCTTAAAATTTTAGTGTACATAGACATTTGAGCATAAAATTTTGGGAAAGTTCCCGAAATAGGACTAAAACAGTTTGAAATTTTCAAAATAGGACTGTCATGTTTTTTATTCCCAAAATAGAAGTAATTACTGCCATGTTTGAAGTCTGGTACTGCCAAAACATGGCAGTAATTAGTCCTATTTTGGAAATAAAAACATGTGAGTCCTATTTTGGAATTTCCAAACCTTTTTAGTCCTATTTTGGGTAAATTCTCTAAAATTTTGCATTGTTTCTAATGAATTGATTGTGTTAAAACTAGAGGGTTGTTCACATTTTGAATACTAATTTTGTGTACACCTAATATTTTTTGTTTATTTTATGAGGTAAACCTCTGTTAAAACTACTCTCTTTGCCCTGTATATATTTCCTAAATGACTACACCGGATTAAAATAGTGAGTATTGCGTGGTGGAGAGTTGTGTAGAGGAGCGATAAATGTGTAACAAATATTGTGAATCACACATTCTTTGTAAAAAAGTGAAAGAGGATATAATTTTGGAACAGGCTGAAATGGAAAGATTGAAGATAATACTGGGACAGATGGAGTAGTAATTTGACACGTATGTCGTCCGAGATGTAATTTCTTGATTTTTTATTTTTAATATAATAATTGGTTTAAATTTAAATTAAGTTCAATAACCATAGTTATGTAATGTAACATGAATACTTGACTATGGTTCCATATCACAGTATTAGAAACATTTGCATATAAGATATTTCAAGATACTCGTATCGTATATTCTCAGGTCTTATTTGTAATTTATTAAAAGTTTTCAACTTTTTTGGTATTTATTTTAAAAAACGGATATATGTATCGAATTTTGTATAACAAAACACCCAAAAATTAAATAATAAATTCTTAAACATATTTATTGTAACTTTTAGTTTTTATTAGAGTATTGTTTTCTATCTTGCACTTTTTATTTAAAAATGTGGTTGTTTGACTTGTTTATCATTTCCAATTAGTAACTTATTCATTTTTTTTATATTTCAAGTTACACCAGTGTATTTGAGATAAAATATGTATTTATTTCTTCAATGCCATGAATGGGCAAAGAATAATCTATGTATATATTTTCAAAAATATCTTGTATTTTTAATATTTAAAAATACACCCCATAATTTTTAATATTTATAAATAAATCCCATAACTTTTAATATTTAAAAAAACTCTAGTATCTGTAGCATAACTATTTTGTTATATCCTCGTACCCGTTTTCACGTTTCGGTGTCCCCATATTGATGCTAAATAAGCTATACTGCGTGTATATATGGTTTCCTTTTTTTAGAAATGAGATCACAACTTATCTTTTGTCTATTGCAAATTAAATGTCTGGGGCATAGACTTGTCCGCGATTTCTGGTTAAATCGGAACTGCATAGTACCTCCAGCTTGAAATTGAAGGTTTACTAGTCCAGTTCGAATCTTTCAAAAATTGGAACCGGTTTTGAATTGGATGGTTCCGGTCTGGAACCTCTTTTTTCAATCAATTATTTAAAAATGATATTTATAATACTAATTTAAATATTTTTTCAAAAAAAAAATAATAATAATCATAATTGTCACGCCCCGGACCTACCGGACACGTCAACAACCCGCCGTACAGTACGAATAGTCAACCGCAGTCCAACTCATCCATACTATACTAGGCGTCTTGAATATCATTCACAATAGTACATCCATAAACAAACATAATGTAAAATAATCATTTAAATCAGCGGAAACGTTTAATACAAGTGTTTATGCCACACTTCGGCAACATGGGCGTACAAGCCCTAAATAATTATTCAAAATAATATCCATGAGCATTAATTTAATATTTTAAAAATGGAACGGAGGAAGCACGAACCACGTCTTCTCTCCCTGAGCTCCCCGAAGCAACGGGCGATGGTAGCAAGCTTTACTCCCTACCTGAAACTGTGAGGTGGCCTCCCCCGTGAAGGGGAGGTCAGTACTTGGAAGCATTTGACAAGTACAATGACAACTATACTAAGTATAATCAACGTTTTAATTTGTAAGACCCTCAAAATAGGGTGATATCATAATATAAATAATAATTTATATTTCCCACTTATTATCTCTATAATAAGTAAATTTATTTATTTGTCGGCACACGGCCCATTTCATATATTTCATTATACCCGTCGTTAGCACGACACCGCCCGTAGGTCTTATCATCCTTTACGAGACTTGTCACCGCTCTCCGAGGCCTCACCGGGCTCTCGGGCCGGAGTCCAACATCCCGCCCCTGAACTCATACCCATCGTCCCGTGGGAAGGTAAGGTCCATTCGGGGTCCTATCTTATGTGTTACCGCTGTCGGGAGCCTCGTAAGGTCTCCGGTTCGGATTCCACCCTAACCCGTGATCACGATGTAAGTCCATGCTATCCAACCCCGCTCTCTAGAGTCGGGAAGGGCCATGGTCCTTACTAATTACCAATACTCTATCGGCTAATCCTTAAAGACTACCGAATACACCCGTAGGCCAATCCTATTCCTAGGATCAATTTATTATTCCCTTTATCTTGGGTATCCCTTAAGGCCTACCCCTAGCATCACTTATCCACCTTAGTATCTCTTAAGACTACTTAAGGCTCAACAATTTACAATCCAAACCTTGGATCAATTCTAACATATTTCATTCCAAAACCCCGACTAGTATCATAATACTAGTCGGATAAATTCCAACAAAACTCATTTTCAATTCAAAGTCATATAGACAATTTCCAAACTAATTTTCCATTGAAAATATAGTTCATATCAATATACAAAATATAACCTTTAACCACTCATATATCCTTATATGAAGTTATAGTTATATTTCAACACAATATTCATAACTAATCCCTTCATCAAGCCAATATGCTCATATTACATAATCATACACAATTTATCCTTAAATTTGTATATTATGCTCCTTTATTCATTGACAACAATATTTTCATTTAGGCATTATTAATCATTAATAATCCATGAAAATCACATTTATTTACTTTAGGTAATCCTACGAAATTAACCCAAAGATTATAAGCAATATAGTCAGCCATCCTCACCTTATGAAGTGCTGAAATAGTTGCCTTTGTTAAGCCCTCCGATCAATCCCCGTTCTAAGCCGATTAGAAGTGGAAAATCCAACCAGCAGACGAAAGCCGGGCGGCTTTTGCAAAAGGTGGGCGGCTTTCGTGGTCTGCAGCTACGAACAGCCTCCTATTCTTGGCGGTTTCCGGCGATTTCAACTCCTATCGATTCCATAACTCTTCTAAGTTAAATACCACCACTTTATAACAATATTCTACACTTTTAAACGTGTAGAACTCCATGTTTGATCCACCATATGATTTACTAAAAATCATACAACATAATACTGGTTAGGAGAATGGTTGTTGAGTTCTTACCTCAAACACCACCCTTTTCTTCTTGGATTTCCTTTGTTGATGCTCCCTTCAAGCTATGGACTTTGAGAGGACTCTTCCCTTGAGCTCTCTCCCCCTTTGGTTGTTCGAGTGGTGTGTAATGAGATAGGAAGGATTCCTTCTCAATCAAACACACAAATAATGTGAGAGTGGGGTATGGAGGGTGTGGGTTTTTGTCTCCAAGAGACTTCCTCTTTCATGCACGCCCCTAGCTTATTTTCCTGTCTCCTCCCCATTATTTGGGGAGTTATTTGACTGGTGGGATACCCCAAGTGGGTGTAGGAAGTCCCTCCCAATTATTCCTGCTATTTTTGGTAGGTTCGGCCAAAATAGCACTCGGGTTGTCCAAATATTTTTATCAACTTTTATTGGCACTTTATTGGGCTTCTATAATTTATTATGATGACCCAACTAAATATTTGGTAGTCCGGTCACATATACTGGACCCGATAAACAATTTAATTAATCGCACATTAATTAAATATGCCAATCAATTACACGAATTTTATTCGCTAGGAAATTTGAATACATATCGAATTCCAAATTCAAGTACATCCGGGTGCGGTGTCACAAGTTCACCCCCCCTTAACGGGAATTTCGTCCCCGAAATTCACAAATGCTTATTCAAAAAGGAATGCATACTGTTCCTTCATCAAGGCTTCTGTTTCCCAAGTTTCTTCTTCAACTCGGTCACTTTTCCAAAGGATTTTAACCATTGGAACTTTCTTGCTTCTTAGTTTCTTTACTTGCCTATCAAGTATCCTCACCGGTCGTACGGCATAGTTCAAATCCTCACGTATTTCCACGGGTGGTTTCTCTAACACGTGAGACAGATCCGGCACATATTTCTTTAGCATAGACACGTGGAACACGTTGTGTATCTTCTCCAATTCTGGAGTCAACTGCAATCGGTATGCTACGGCCCCAATTCTTTCAAGAATCACAAATGGCCCTATGTAGCGTGGGTTAAGCTTCCCTCGGCTTTGAAATCGGATGATTCCTTTCCAAGGTGAAACTTTCAAGAATACCTCATCTCCCACCTTAAACTCTAAGGCCCTCCGACGCTTATCGGCATAGCTATTCTGTCTATCCTGGGCCGCCTTAAGCCTTTCGCGAATCATCTTCACTTTAGACTTGGTGATCTCCACCAATTCCGTGCTCTCGAGTTTGGCCATGCCAACCTCATCCCAACACAAAGGTGTACGACATCTCCTCCCATACAATGCCTCGTATGGAGGCATGCCAATACTCGCCTGATAACTGTTGTTATAGGCAAACTCCACGAGTGCTAAATGGTTGTCCCAACTCCCTTGGAACTCCAATGCACAAGCTCTCAACATATCCTCCAAAATCTGTATAACTCTCTCGGATTGTCCATCCGTCTGTGGATGAAAGGCAGTGCTGAATTTCAATTTCGTTCCCATAGACTCTTGGAACTTCGGCCAAAATCGTGATGTGAATCGTGGATCCCTGTCGGACACAATGGTTATAGGAACCCCATGTAGCCTCACGATCTCACCCACATACAATTTGGCTAA